GACGGCTGAAAAATCGAGGTCAGTCTGGGGCCCGGTAAAAGGTCGAATGGAAGCTTACATTCACCGCCGAGGAGGATCGAGAGATTGGCTGAGGAAGGGTTCATCCAGTATATCTCGACGGGTGGGGCAGAGATTTACCTTGGGCGAGGGCGGTCTGGCGGGCAATGGCTTGAAGATGGCGCAGTAACGCTGACGCCTCCGGGGTTTTAGGGAGAACGGGGGCGATAGCGGGGACCACCGCTGGTGTCACCAGGGTGGAGGCAGCGTCGACTTCAGTGGGAGAATTCGCGGTGGACATGAGGGGAGGATGTTTGGGATGATTCGATGGTCGGATACCTATGGTGGAGTATTTGAATGTCGAGTTGTTCATATCAGATGTATTGTTGCTACCGCGTGATTCCGATTGTGCGACTTGCTCCGATTGGGAAGTTGATAAAAGGTAGGCAAGGGGGGCGTACATCGGTTGACCTAACGAAATGTTAATTCCTGAAACACCGACTTAGGGAAATGAGGCGACGACATACTGAGCAGAGCAGAAGGGGTTTTTCCTTTTTTTTTGGGGGGGAGGGAGGTTGGATGGCCGGGTGTGGGGCTGGAAGGTGCTGAACGTGAGGAACACAGTGGACGACGCGTCTGCCTGGGGGCAAAGAAATCTGACAGACTCACATTTCTCAGTAGGTATATACAAATTTATTGCGTCATGAGCGAAGGCGAAGGCGGCTGGGTAGTGATGCAAAGAGCAAGGGGGGTGTGGATCTGCGGTCAAAGGGGTTGGCCAAAAACAACAGCGTAAAATAAAGTACTCACTTGTGCACGCGTTACATCAACAAACTAAGAAACCGCGTTTCTCCCTCCATACACACACCATACATCGACGCGACGATGGCGCCGCCCAGCTGGCAGACGCCGGAGCAGAAGGCATTTTTCACCCTGTGGATGCCCGAATTTTTGGTGAAGAAGGCGGCAAAGAAGCTGAACGGCTTCTGGCCGAAGATGAAGAAGGCTTGGTATGAGGAGTTTCCCGAGGAGTTGGAGTTGCGCCTGCCGGTGCAAGTATTCGACCCAGATCCAAACGCCCCACGTCCACGCAGGCTGACGACGGACGAGGAGGCGGCACTGAGTGAGGCCATTACCATCAGGGACAGGGTCGGTCTGGTGTCTCTGCTGTTGACAAACGCGTTGAACTTAGATTTTTCAGCAAATCCGTAGCGTGTTCTTCAACGCCTTCTCGAAAATCAGAACTAGTCGCGGTGGAGTCAGTCGTTCAACGTCCAAGGGACTAGCAGCTATGCTCTTCAAGCGGCTCCCGAAGCACAAACGTCGCCACCATGTTCTCGAGGTGTATCAGCAGGACCACAAGAGCACCGTGAAGGCCGCGCTACAAGAGTCGGAGTACGTCCACCTCAACGAGGCGTCACAGCGGCGCACAGAAGACGGGGAGTGGATTGACGACGAGGACGAGGAGGAGAAAAATGAACGGCTGCACGACGCCCGCTCGCAGCGCATGACGGTACAGAGGCGTGTCGTCCGGAAGTGTTGGGAGGCGGAGGACGAGGCGGTTCAGCAGGAGGTGGTGGCCAAGGCAAGGGCCGAGAAAGCACCAGGGACGGAGGCAGAGAAGGACGTAGAGGACGGTGAGAGGACGCCGGAGGAGTATCAAATGTGGGTTGTCGGCTTCATGCACGAGGTTTTTTTGGCTGATTCGCGTCGCACCAGGTCGTTGGACGAATCCATGAAAGTGGCTGAGATATTCCTCACGGAATTCGGGAGGATGACGGGTTGGGTTGGAGCCTTGGTGTACGCTGGGCCTGTACCGCGACTTGGAGGTGATTTGGGATTCAAGAGGTTAGGATTGCCTAATTGGGAATGCTTCGACTCACACGACTGACACTCCTCTTTCTCAGCTACTCGTTTGGGCTGGCCGAAGGCGTCAACTTCGAAGACTACCACAGCAACTGGAAGAAGGCGGTTGTGACCCTCCTGTGCAAGTTCGCTCGAAAGGCCATCCGTGAGTACCTCAGCTTATTCGTCGAACTCTGAAGTAGATATTAATCCTAACACAGCCCGGGCAACGCGTGTCTCGCGCGCCTTCGAAGGCCCGGACAACGAGGAGGATGAGCCTGCCTCAGAGCCCGTGTCGGTAGTGGCGCCACCGCGGCGGCCACACAAAAGCAAGGCCAAGGCGTCCAGTCAGCCGTCTAAGCCGAAAACATCGAGCAAGCCGTCTAAGCCGAAAACGTCGAGCAAGGCGTCGCCCAGCAAGGCCAAGACTTCGAGCGCGACGTCGGTCTTACCGCCGGCCTCCAGAAGTCCGTCTCCGAACCCCATATCCTGTGGTGTACAGAAAATGTATCAAGACTACGAAAACGAGATGCACGCGGGTGCGGAATCGCACGAAGATTCAGGTTTGGACTATGACGACCCATTCAGCAGTTCCGACGCGCACAACCCTCTCGGTGACGATTTCACTGACGATTTCGGGGCCGAGGGATCATTCCTCAACAACAGCATCTCGTCCAGCGCGTTCCTCAGGAACACCTCGTCGAGCGCATTCCTGGGCGAGAACGCCTCGCTGACAACGGCTCGTCCAGCGCGTTCCTCGCTGAGAACGGCTCGTCCAGCTCGTTCCTCGCCGAGAACGCCTCGTTGTCCACCTCTTCCACGTTATTCCTCGGCGAGGACACCTCGTCCAACGCGTTCCTCGGCAGCGCCTCGTCCACCTCTTCCACGTTGTTCCTCGGCGAGGACGCCTCGTCCACCTCGTCCACCTGGAGCACCTCCCCTACTGCCGGTACACTTTCGTTCGACGCCTACGTCAACGCCCACCCGGAGATGCTCGTACGCCAGAATTCTCAGATGTCCACGAACGATAACAATACCTTCGGGAGTTCGGTCGCGGGTGATGGCAGCAGTCCCCGCCTCTTCCTGCCGCCTGATGTTGGGGGGCAGGGCCTGCATTGGACGTCGCGTGGGCAGCAGAGGGGTGAAGGCGACGTCTTGCGATCGACAGTCGACAATTGGAGTACTCCAAATCTCGAGCCTGATCCTCTCCGTGAGGAAACCGCTCGAGGCCCACCCAGGCCGCGGCCGATCGGGGGCGGGCGGTCATCACCGTCATCCGACTTCACGTTTGGGCGACAGCCGCAGTATCGACCGATCCACTCGAGCCGTTCGCCGTCGAGCTCGCCAGTCCATGCTGCGACTTCTACGGTGGTTCCTCCAGCGCGTCACCCAGCCGGATCTCATTCGATGCCGACCGCGACGAGGCCCGCGCCGAGGCCGAATTCCACCTTGGCGCTAAACTCCCCGACACCAGCCGCGACGGGCACCAGCTCGGTGTCGACGGCGGCGCCTCCTGGGACACCGAAACACCATCGGGCAACAACATCGGCGGGGAGTGTCGGGCTTTTAGGGACACCGCAGCGAACGTCATTCGCTCCGGCGCGGTCCTCCCCCCTCACCGCGCCGCCTTTGCTGCCGGACTCGCGAGCCGCGTCACCCCCGGGTGGGACGTTGCCTCCCCGTCTTCGACCCTCCCCCGAGCGACCCCGTGCAGGCTCCTCATCCGGGAAAGCGTTGGCACCACCAGTATGGCCGAAGTCGCGACCACCGGCAAATGAGCCCAAAAGCGCCGCGGTAAAGGCTTCTCCAGGGGCGATAGCGAAGAAGATGGAGCACGCTAGGGCGGCGAGGAAGGTGGGGAAGAGCAAGGTGGGGGCTAAGCGGGTTGTGGGAAACAGACGGGCGGATGTGGGAGCGGGGGGTGACGAGGCGGGAGCGGCGGGCGACGAGGCGGAGACGGACGTAGGGGCAAGGGACAAAGGGAAGGGGAGGCAGATGGAGGCTCCCACACCGCCAGAGCAGGACACGCAGGTTGTGGCGGACGCGGCGGCGCCGGTGCTTATTCACACTATCAGCAGCAACGGCAGTCGAATGCACAAGGAGCTACGGGCTCAGAAGGAAGCTGAGAAGGAGAAAGACCGGAAGGCGGCCGCGGAATACAAGGCGAACAGCCGCCTTAACAATCCCGACGGTAACCACCCGCTGGTGGTGGTCCCCCTGCCGCCTAACGCGCCGCGTCCACGCCGAGCACCCGCACCGCGCCGTAACATGGGCGCAATCGTCACTCTGACGGACGAGCTGCAGGCGAAGAAGGACGCAGCCATGCTGGAGGCGCTGAAGGGAAGTGGAGATAGGATGGCGGCGAACCTGAAGAGGGCGGCGAACGCGGCGAAGGCGACGGCGAAGGAGAAGGAGAAGGCGACGGCGACCGGGAAGGCGACGGGGGCGGCGGCGGGGAAAGTGACGGCGACCGGGAAGGCGACGGGAAGGAGGGTGGAGAGCGACGCGACGAAGAAGGCGAAGGGCAGCTCGTCGGGCGGTGCTGCAGTAGGGCGTAAGAGAAAGGCTGACGACAACAACGAGAACAGTGAGCCCCAGGTGCCAATTAAGAGGTATGTTTCTTGTTCTTTCGCATGCCTTTCAGCGCTGACGACCTTGCTTAACAGGCAAAGGAAGGCGTAGATATTAGAACCGGGGCTATGCGTTTCACCCGTGCTATGTCTTTCATCCATGCTACCTCCACGACGAAAATCTATGCTTTTTTCCCTTCTCAACGCTCATGTCCCTAGCTGGCAAGGCCCTGTTTCCCTGGTGTCCATTTCTCTGTCCCCTGAGGTACGTTCATCTGTTCTTGACTCGAGTCTTCGGACTGACGATTTCAAACATTTTAGTGTTTTCTTACCTATCGTCTTACCCATCGCCAGCCGAAGGGGTGAATTTTCTTTAACTCCAGACTCAGCTTCATCATACCCTGGTAGCACAACGGGTCGTGCGTCTAGGAGTCCTGATGCCGTGGATTTCTAGGTGATCTGGGTTCGAGCCCCAGCCAAGGCATTCCGCCGGTTCCATTTTCAAACCGAAAATGGAGCCGACAATTTTTTCCTAGAATTAGGCTCAGCGTTGGTTAGATACATAGGCCTGTGCACCAGGGATATCAAGTCCCTGTGGCACAACCGGTCGTGCGTCTAACCATGACTTTCGTAGAGTAACTGAGTTCGATCCCCAGCAGGGGCATAGCCTTTTCTCCCTGTGGTACTCCCTGTGGTACTTCCACAGGGAGAAAAGGCTGGTTTTTTGACCCGGCGTGAGATCTAGCGTAACTTGACTGAGCTTCAGCGTACTGGAGGGTAATATGACTTAGAAAAGAAAAAAAAAATCGTCGACTGCAAACAATTTAAAAGTGTCCGCATCCCGTTTCGAACGAGGGGTTTATTACTGACGCTTACGGAGAGGCAAGGAATCGCTACCTTACCAACTACGCCACGGAAGACATGCCTGGTATTAAAAAGGGGATGTAACGGCCGGTATTGAGTCGGTGTGGCTACCGCAAAAAAAAAAAACTTTCTAAGTCCGATTTGATGACAAAAAAAGGTCGAAGCTTGAGAAAGAAACGTCTGGGCATAATTTGTGGGGTACAGTGAGGCAGGTAAGTAGGATAAGAACGTCGGGTGTTGGGGAAATCGGCGGACAGAGGGCGGCGGGAGCGGGGCGGGAGTAAAATGCGGCTAGCGGCCCCCGTACTGATCGTAGACCGAGGCGGAGGGCTCAGGCGAGGGGCTGGGACATGTCCCCACCTCGACCTGAGGTGGAACGCGCGGCGGTAAGCGCGGCGGCAGCGGCGAAGCGGCGGGAGCGGGGCGGGAGCAAAATGCGGCTAACGGTCCCCGTACGGATCGCAGACCGAGGCGGAGGGCTCAGGCGAGGGGCTGGAACGTGTCCCCACATCGACCTGAGGTGGAACGCGCGGCGGCAGCGGCGAAGAGGCGGGAGCGGGGCGGGAGCAAAATGCGGCTAGCGGCCCACGTACGCATCGTCGAGCGAAGCAGTGGGCCCAGTCAAGGGGCTGGGACATGTCCCCACCTCGACCTGGGGTGGAACACTTGGCGGGCAAGTGCGGGGGCAGCGGGGAAGCGGCGGGAGCGGGGCAGGAGCAAAATGCGGCTAGCGGTCCCTGTACGCATCGTAGAGCGAAGCAGAGGGCCCAGGCAAGGTGCTGGGACATGTAGGGACATGTACCCACCTCGACCTGGGGTGGAACGCGCGGCGGGCAAGCACGGCGGCAGCGGGGAAGCGGCGGGAGCGGGGCGGGAGCAAAATGCGGCTAGCGGTCCCCGTACGCATCGTAGAGCGAAACGGAGGGCGTAGGCGTAATAACTGAGGCAACATGAGCCAAGGGGTGGTCTGGCTAATCGCTGGGGTGGACCGGGGAAGCTGGGGGTACCTGAGCATGCCGAGTGATTAAAGCCCGCCGTGTGGGTCGTACAGGGCGCCAAAAGCCACAGAAAGGGTGCGAATGGAGAGCTCCGAGGTTGGAGAATCCTGCCCTGCAGTTGAATAGGCGTGGTGGCGGCCGGGGGGGGAGGAGCAGCGGAGGGTGGTGTGGCGGGAGGCGAAAGAGTGAAATGCTAACAATGACAAATAAAGGCGCACCTGCCTGAAAAGGCGAAGCATGCGACGTCCATAACGTCAGTGCAGCCCCACGACCGCTCTCAAAACAGCGTAGGTCAAGGTTTCTCGACTTTACGAACACAACCCTCAATGGAGGGCCGCGCGCAGGGCCGCGCCAAAATTGCCAAAAGCAGCTGAAATGGCGGGGTGCACCGCCACGCGCCCCACGATAGCGCCGCGACAGTGCCGCCGCGTCAAAACCGGGTTTACTTCCCGTTATAGGTGCGTCTCTAATGTGATATATCAGCCTGAGCTCTAACTAGAGCTCATGATATATCACCCCGCATCTCTTATCAGAGTCTTTTGATATATCATAATAGCACTATGCGCTGATAGATGCTGCAGCACTGATAAGTCTCTTCTGCTCTGCTTTTTTATGACGCTTAGCTGAATCTTCCTCCTGCTTTGCGATAGCGATTTCCTCCGGTGTGCGTCGGATCGTCCATTCTTTTCGGTACCCCGTGTCGATACCTGGACGCCGAAGCTTATTCCCCGTACGGGTCATAGGCCCGCTCAGCGTCGGCGGCTGGACGGGCGCTGTCACCTGCTCCAGTTGGCTTAGGCTAATGATGTTTTTACCAGCATTTTCTTAAGCCGGCTTAAGTTGGCTTAAGCCCTGCATTCACAATTAGTACCGTTACAAATATATACATTTCATGGACCGAACGTTAGCTGGGTAAGCTAACATAAGTTATCATGAGCCAGTGAAGCTTAAGCGAACTCAGCCAGCATTGAAGCCAACGTGAGTGGTCGACTTAAGCGGGGCTTAAGCGGCTTAAGCCGCGGTCCTATTCTTGAACAAACCTCGCATGATGTCGAGTAGCAAGGCAGAGGACCCAAGGACTCATTAACGCGAGCGAAATAAGATCTAAATACAAACGTTCAAATCCTATCCGAGTTGTTAACTCTGGCGTGCTCTGCAAAAAGTTGAATTTGTACCATTACCCGCTCGAAGTGATTCCCATCCATCGAAGGAGGTATGGTAACTGGGTGCATGTCAAATATTTTTTAGCCCACAAGGTATTCACAATGACGAACACTCACGTGGATGATGAAGCAGCGGTTCCGCACATCACGCCCGACGAAACAACATGAACGTGAGGATCAAACTCCTTTGCAAAGGGAAGTTAGGCTAGATGTTTGAGGGGTCAGTCCGGCACGGAGATAGAAGGAAAGTTGCCCTCTGCACAAGGTCTGAATTTAGTGGAGTGGCACTGTGGCAGGACTACGAGGCGCGGTCAAATACAAGTGGCCCTCTGGCGTACTCTTGGTGGCACTCCACACGTTGGTCCCTGGATTCGTAACATGTGTTGTCGGGGAAGAGGAGACGAGCTCTGGAAGATGGGTGGAACCAGGCGCGATGAGACGGGAAACAAGAGAGAGAAGACAAAGAGAAAACAAAGACAAAAGGATGTCACATCACCGACTATTTGATTCGGAACTTTCCACCCCTCGGCTGCATCAGTTCTCCGAGTCCGCATCACTGCGGCTTTGGTACAATCACTCCGGATCGGTTTCGGGTGCCGCCTTTGTTACGATGCGCGCCTATGTGAATACATCACTGAGGTACGATGGAACTCACAGCCAGAGAGATTGAACGAGCGCCAAGATCGACACAAAGCCTGCCTGAGCGAACGAAACCAAGGTCGGCAAGTAATGAGTGGAATGACTGGAACGCGTATTATAGGTTCGAATCCGCGCAGCGCACTGGTGCACACATTTAGAACTCAGGACGGAGGTCTCAGTTTCTGTGAGGTAAATCAACGATGAGAGTATACTTCATATTGAACCACAGGAGTTTGAAACCAATGCAACTACTCTAAAACAAGTGGGCGCACCAACCAATAGTAATACTCACAAACCCCAGCTGGATTCTCTATAAGTATAACGAACCGCACTAAGGCGAACTCGGACGCATCCGAGCTCCCCGAGATGCCCGCGAATCCAGCGGTCAGTCGATAATAAGTACATTACCTCGCATCAAACCACACATATACCCCCGAAGGCAAAAGGCGAAGGCAGATTAATGTGTCTCCTTTCGATTCACCCTGAAATGAATGAATGAAATTACTAAAAGGCAGGGACGCGAAGCTCATGGAACGTAATTTGTGCAAAGAGACGAAACGGGCAGGGGTAGGCGGACGTTCGTTCAATCAGACAATGAGGCCAACGAACCGAAGTTGAACGAACCGCACTTCCGAAGCAAGCTTGATCTGTGTCATGTCAGTCTGACTCAAAGTAAGTAAGTAGAGTCTCACACGACCACTGGTACCGCGGACTCAAACCTACGAACCACCCAAGGAATGAATGAAGGAAGACCAATTAGCCAGAGATGGACAGCAAGCGATGAACCGGGCCCGGGATGGATGCCCGAGGAGCCCGAGTTCGAGTTCGAGAATGAGATCTACGGGCGGAATTAATGAATGAACTCGCGGAATTAATAATCGCGGAACGGTTGGACACCGCACCTACAGATTCCAGACTGGGGACTGGATATACTGTACATACGGGTACTCATTTGCGTTTGAGTTTGCGTTTGGAGGAGGCCGAACGAACGAACGAACGAACGAACATCTGGGAGGAAAGCAGGCAAGGCAAGGTGAGTGGGTGAGTGGGAGGTGTGCGATGAAAGTATGAAAGGAAGGAAGGACCTCAGCGGAGGTGGTACGACGGAGGGAAAGTTGAGGGTGATAACGTACTTGAGTCGAAGTAAAGTCAACGATGGAACAAAGACAATACATGTACCTGTGACCTGAGGTTGTTGTTGAGTTGACTGGGAACAAAGGTCAGCTCGAGGATCATCACGGGAAAATATAACTTGCATTGCCTGCATTGAACTGGTCATAGTATAATTGGGTCCCAACGTGGAGGTAAACACCGTTGAATAGCTTCACGACGTTGAAATGGGAACTCGAGCCTGGATAACTTGAACTGCCAACAAAGTCGAATGCGGATATACCGTGGCATACCTGATTTTAAACGGCCATAGTTTGGATCCCAACGGCGAGGGCTGGCGAGGGCAGCCCCTTCTGGTGACGCTAAAGCCAGTACTGAAATTTAACGACGGCTTCGGAGTGAGGTCAGTGCTAACTCCTACAATTCGATGCAGAAATTCGCCTCCCGACTCCCTAGGACGACGGCGCAGTAACAGGTCAAAGTGCAAAATAAGATCAGTCCCACACTCGACATGGGAACCAACGGACGTACCGCCGGCTGTTCTGTTCAGAACTGGAGCTCGAATGAACCCAAAGGACAATGATTGCGGGCAACGTATCGCGCTATGGAGGAACATCAGTAGTTGGATGCGGAGTACCGAGTCAGGCCATTGAGACTCGAAAGAGGGGCAAGTCAACCTGGCAAACAAATGGTTCGTGGTAAGAATGAATGAGTGTATGTAGAGAAAGGACCCACCCACCTACATCCCGTGTATTCACACAGACGCAGGTCCTGCGCTGCAAAGTATATGATCGGGAAGCGAAGAAAAAGAAAGATCAGCACTTAACCAGGGAAGCTAATGTGCGCGCCGGTAACTAACTGGAATGAACCTGATGAGTTCAAGTCAACCT